ATTATTATTAATATTAATTATGGTCAAAAATGTGAAAATGATTTGTGACCCACAATGTGTTTTGGGATACACACGGTTCTCTTGTTGGTCGCTCATAGGTATCGAATGTAATTTTTATCCTGGCATTCGTACAACATGCATAGAAGCGAGTTATCTCTCTGAATAATATATTTAACAGTGTCAAAATGGACAAAGTTTTGTGTGTGTGTGCAGTACATAGTACACGAATGTAGATAAAATGCAAGCGGGTGACCACTTTCATTGCTGCAGACAAAATGACACAATCAATAATAACAAGCATTCATATGTTCACGGAAATAGCTTTGCGGATTGGCATTGTTGCCGCTTATAATTTACAATTGGATTATTGATTAGTCGAACAAGACAACCGAGAATAGCATTTCATTGACTTCGATCACTCTCTCAAAACTTCTGTCATCCGTTTACATTATTTCACATGTTCTCAGTTGCGTATAATGGCATGTATGGCGCATGCCAGCATCACAATTCTCGACAGGTCTGCAGAACTTTTCTTCAGCATGAAAATTAAAATGTTGAGAAACCGGAAGAGAAACAAACCAGATCAATCAATAGTCAATTTTCGATTGGAACAACACAGGCGACTCGCAAGGAATGCACCTTCAACATCATCAATTAGGAATGAAAGACGGAATTGACAGACATCCCCATTCTCTTATGCCACACATTATGATTTCATATGAATGTATGCATTTAGTTGTATTTCTTTCATTTCTTTGGCAATTCACCGATTTTTCTCTCACTCTCTTTCTTTTTCTACGTTGGATTCAATATCAGAGACATTGTAAAATATTGTGCGAACATTTGTCACAAACAAAATTCATATTCGCGCATTTTATTCTCGCCTCTACACACCGGCAACGAACTTCATATTCGTGTAACTTAAGCATAAATGAAAGCAGAGCCGTTTGTCAAAAGAACACATTATGTCATTCGTTTCAGAAATTCCGCATCGGCATCACATACATGGCTGCTGCATCTGTGTGCTGATTTGATAGATGAGCGCCAATACGGAGCATATTGCAGTTGTAGGAAGTTTTCAATCCGTTTCTCTCGACGATACAGACGATACACTCATACACAAATGGGTACAGTGTATAACACACAAATTTATTTGTTCTGGAGAGTTGGTGGTAGTATGAGAGCGAGTATGTCTTTTTTTTGTTATTGTTGCACATTCCTGTTCGGTTGGCAGTTGACATCCGTCTCGCCTTAACTCAGTCTATGCTTGTAATATGAGAATTAGCTTGTGTCAAGTGTGTGAATGAAATTGTCGCATTACTGACAACCAAAACATTTAAAGTTTATTCGTACAATAGGTATATTGTGGTCTCTCATGCATTCTTTATCAATAACGCGGCAGCATTAAAACCGCCGCCATCACCATCGCCACCACCGCCGCCGCCACCACCGATGCCGCCAAATTTGGAATACAATTGCGAACAATATGATGGTTACTGATGTTTTATCGCCTCGTTCAAAGTCAATTCGCTTAATGCACACAATCCTATTATTTTATTGCCAACATTATTGTCACATAGATAAATTCATCACTTTGTTTCGCCAAACAAATTGCAAATGCAGTTTCTGTATAAGCGTGGGCTTCGAGAACGCTCATGCCAAATGGCCATCCATTCACATACAATTTTTTTTTTATATATTACCGAAAATGGGACAATTTTCGATGTAACATAAAATTTATGGGAAAATAACGAAATACATGAACGGCGGCGCATGGAATTTGTGAATCCGGACATTTTGAATGGCCATGAACATTGAACATACACCACTAGATCATATCCGCGCAGAAAATACCATAAATAATAATCTAATTGAATGTGAAAGCGAGTTTTGTGTGTGCACACGTGAATTGTTTGCTCGCGCGTTTCATTCCATTCGTTGAGAATTGCAAAGTTATTTGCGTGCGTATAAGTGATTCAGCAACCTCCCGTGCATGTCATTTCAATGCAATTGCATTCTCGTGTTTGTCTGTGTGTTCTGTATGCACATTTTCCATTCCCAAGCAGGAAATGAAGCAAATAAATTTTGCACCATAATAATAATGATTGTTCTAAAATTTATTTAATGTCTTCCGGAATATATGAATCACTGAATACCACTATCTACTCGAAAATCACTTTCGAAGCATCAATGCATGGGTTGAATTAGCCAAACCATCTCGAAAAAAATAAACCTTGAGCTTCCTTTCATCATGTGACTTTACATGTAACAATTCGGCTATATTTTTGTTGTTGTTTTTGCTGTTGGCAAACGGTGTATTGAGAATATTTCACCAACAGCTGAAAAATCGGTGCCACAGAATGGCATCCAACATTCTGTTGGAAAACAAAAAAAAAAACAAACAAACAATAATGATGATTGGAGAAAAGGAACAAACTGAAAGCAAATCTCAAAATATATTGGCTAAAGCAGAGCAAGAAAAACGTTGAAAACGAAAACAATGAATCGGGGAGGCGTTTGTGTGGCTTTATATTTCGAAATGTTAAACAAATGGGACCGCGTAAAAATGAAAAAGATAAAAAAATGTATTTGTTTTTTCTTTATCATACTCACACCTGAACAAATGCTTCCGGACTCTCGATATTGTTTTACAAATTACGTTAGATATGATAAGCAAAATACCAAGCAAAGATAAACAGTAACAAGAAAAATGAGATCTTTCAGTAGAGCGATACATTCAAAATGTGGAAATTCAAATGTAGCAAGAAAGAATCGGAGTGAATATCAAATATACCTGCACTATTCGACGAACGTATGTGCTGCAACACTTTGGCCAATAACAAGTGTCTTTGGAAAACGCTTGAATATAAATGTAATCCATAAACTGTGTAACCAGTGCAATCTAAAGAAAAATCTATGGAACAAGCCTCCGTGAGTTTAAAATTGACAATCTTTTGTGTTTAATTTGAATATTTATTAAAATATTTTTTGAATAGAGAGACACATTTTAAAAGCTCATCATAAAGCTTGGGAAATATTTTGAAATTTATGAGTGAGTGAAAAAAATGTGGAGGAAAATACTTTAAATTCCATTTCATCGTTCATAAAAATCATAGTTCATTGTGAATGTGTGTCCACTGGGCATGCACATATACACGTACAAAGAAATCTCGATGAAAAACACATCGAAATTTTTGTTTTTTTTTTGCTTTGAAATTCAATCGCACACGCACGATCTCCAATCTATTCAGGATAAAATACAAATTGTGAAATCCTGCAGATTATCGCTATTCATATAGGAATTCAACGATGGATCTTTTCTCTGCTTAGTTGAAGTTTTCGATGTTTCTCTCACTCTCACCGTATTGATTTCACTTTCTTCGTTTCGAAAAAAAAAAAAGTTTTCTCAGTTCAGCATCTCTTTATACTCTCTCACACAGTTGAACGTTATCAAGTTCATCAGAATTTCTCTTGTTATCGGTTGCAGCGCGGAGTTTCTTAGTTGTTTTGAGTTCTGAATGAGAAATTTACCCTTTTCCTTCACACAGTATTGGATTTTCTCCTCGTTTGTTATGCATAAAACGTTTCAAACCGGCTGTTTTTGTAAATGTGTGTAAAGTGTGCCACACTCTCAACAACCTGTATGAGTTTCATCATACAGTGCAAACGGTTGAGCGTACAACTAAAAAGTGAAAATATACGAATCCAGCGAATGTTTGAGTAGTAAAATAGCCAAATGTGAACGAGAAAAAAAAACAGATTGAAGCAAAAACTGCATGGAAACTAAGGAGAAAAGGTTGCGATGTCTATTTTTAGGATGACGATTTGTTTGGTATCATCTTCGTGTTATTGCTGCCGTTGTTATTAAAAGTTAGAAGACATCGGATTTTTATTTAGTGAACTGTTTTTTTTTTGCTTATAAAGTTTTCCACCACGTATGTTATTCAAAAAAGGTACAAGGTATCGACGTTTAACTTGATCAAAGTGGAATTTATATTTTTTTTAGGTGAAATGTGCTGCATATTTTCCTATTTTATCGTAATATACGGATGTGATATGAATTTGTGTTCGATTGCCGTTGTTGATGGTGCTGAATCAGCTCCGCTGCTACTATCTGCTGCTTATAGTTTCATTTCGTTGTGCGTTTTTATGTATGGAACATGTTACCAACGTCAAAGCGGCTGTTAATCTGATTTGATCAAAATCATACGTGTATTGCCCCGCCTATATGTTCAATTTATTCACAAATAAAAGATTTTGCTCGAAAAAAAAAATGCGAACCAATATCACGTTACATGCTTATCACACTGAAATGCAAACAAGAAATTTATTTATTTACTGCTTTGTGCCACCGTGACCAAATTGCTTATTTCACATGTATTTGGATTTTTTCGTTTTCCTATCTCTTTGATTCGATTGAATGTCACCAGCATCAGCCGTACATATACTAAACGGTTGTTTTCCTTTCCATTTGATATTCTGAAAAAACTGTTTGAATTTAATTTGTCCATAAATAGTGTAACACACGGCAAGATCATGTCGGCTCAATAAAATCGTATCATGAACAAGAAAAGTACACTCTTTCTTGGTAACCGTTTAAATTATTACCTCAACTTACCCCCCCGCTTAGCAATATAATAAAAAGGGTTTACCTTGATGATGTCATTCATATGTGCAATGTATATTCATTGCGATAGCATCCATTGAATTGTCTTATTTTAAATGCATGAAATAACAAAACTATTGGATCTGTTGCTGACATTTCTTTTTTACAACTCACAAAGTGAGAGGAGCAAAGGATATAGTGGTCCAAAGTGACTTACTTATCTAAAGCATAAATTCGGGAATTATGATGTAGGCTTGAGCAATCTGAACTCTTTCTTTATATACTTTAAATGCAAATCAAATGTTCAAAAATATTTTTCAAGTTCTTTTTCAGTTTTGTTTTAGTTTAAAACACTATTTTATGAACATATTTTTTTTTCTTCTATTCTTTTCAGATACTGTACGAAAGTAGAGAAAATTACTGTCAAGAATATTTCTTAGTGACGTATGAACAAAATAGTTTGAGGCTTTTGAAAAAATTTATGTATCAACCATGCGTTCGAAACAACAGCCACGACCTTCTTATCGCTGGCTAAATAAAAACGAAAATGGTAAGTTTTCTTTAAATAAATTTAATTGAAAATTAACTCATTGACTTAGTCTTCAAAAGAGAAGAAAATAAAATAAAATTCAAATTCAAGCATCATGAATGAATCGAAGGAATTTTTTAACATCTTTTCAATATTATATACATTGTGTGATGTCATTATTCAAATGGATATTTTTATAAAAACATCTATTGGATCAAAAATCGTATTATTTTCGACAGTATCGACTAACCAACAGATATCAATAATGAATAAACCAAATAAATCCATGAATTATGTATGGATATTACTTATATTTGTGTTGATTGGTTGCATTCCATCTTAGTCCAACGCATTGGATTGCATCAGTAATAATAATTATTATTATGGTGCAGAAGACAGAGTGACCACAAACAGCGGAGACTTGAATATAATCATCAGCTATAGCTAGTAATAATTTATCGATGTTGAAGCTTGAGCTAGAGACATCTCAAACATATATGCCCCTAACTGCGTAGGCATTTTTTTCGTTTTGTCTCAGATAAGTTTAATGGTTATTTCATTTTCCTTTACGTGTTCTCGTCATCATTGTCATCAACATCAGCGTTGTTCGTGTCCGCATTCTTTATTTTGAATGATGCATTTAAATTGTTCTATGTGTGACGAGAATGAGAAATATACAGAAGAAAAAAAATCGAACCAAAGCGAAATCTTTGAATTTACTCAAGCAATATGCATAAGTTATGATTATTTGTTGGCCGTTTGTTTTACGTTCTCGAACTTCATTTTGAATGGGCACAAAAAATGGATTCTCAATACGTGTGCACCTAATTGAATGTTTAATTTCTGGCCGCATATAATGTGTGCGGTTACTTTAATGGCGATTCACGATATTCTGGACGATGCAGATCAATGAACGCGCGATGCCAATAAAATGTATTGACGCTAAAATGTCAATTATTATAATTTTGTGTTTTTCTGTTTCGTGTGTTTGCGAACTTTTGTTGATGTGTGCACGGCAGTTGAATTGATCGCATGCGGTGCGCACGAATATCGTCAGTCATTTTGTTACTCTCTTCCATTTTAATCAAATCGCTGTGTGACAAGCGCAAGAAATGAAGACAAGAAAAAACAACCATTGCATTGAAACTTTTGCAATTTTAATTTTCTTCCATAAGGAGCCAAATGTGAAATAGCTGCAAATAAAAATGACCAACATCTGAACATATTTCATTGGTGTTTGCGCTGCATCAAGTTTGATTTCTTTTCGCCTTCTTCTATTCGCTTAATGACAGGCCATTTATTAAGTTTGTGTGTGGTGCGTGCGCGCAAAATGACAGCAGAAACACTGTTAAATAAACGTCCATTTCAAAAAGTCGAATTACCAGTCAAGTTATTGATTAACACATCTCTATGTACTAGGACACAGTAAATAGCATTCAATCCAAATGGAAAAAAAGAAGAAGAAAAAATATTCTTCGAAATAAAACGATATTTATTTGTACTTTTCAGTTAATTGATAATCGTCATATCCTGCTTGCATGACGTTCATACAAAACATAGCCAAACACAAATCAACCGAATCAAGAAGTTGACTGAACAAAAATCCAAAGCAATGCGTTAAAGTAACGACAAAGAGGGAAGAGAGAGAGAGAAAAAGTCGCAGAAAAATGAGTTTTTTCTTCGTACACATAAACACAGACGCGGGCAAACGCAACTAAATCACCGTGCATTAATATTAACTTCCATAAGATGTTATAAATTAAATAAATTTATTCATTTTGCTCAAATTAAAAATAATAATAATAATAACCATAATTCTTAGCAACGTGGCACTTTTCATTGCTTGTGTTGCTTTTCGGTTTTTTTTTTGCTGCTGCCGCCGTTGCTGCTCTCTTCCTTCATTAGTCCAGTGTTCAGTATCGTAACATCATCATCATTATTGCCATTATGATTTCTTTTTTTGTGTTTTTTTTCTTCTGATTTTGTTGTTGTTGTTTACTTATGCAGCAATGGACTCCATTCGACTGCATTCAGAGCAAACGAATGACTTCGGTATTTAATTTGCTTCATTTTGCTTACAAAACTAAATGAAATGCCATAAATGCGATGGCTGTAGCAGTAGTTGTTATTATTACAGTGAGAATGAAAAGATTCTTGTAATAAACCTCCATGTAGTGCAGTACAACATTCATGTATCCATTCACTTGTGTGCGCACGTATTTTTCACGTCCGATTTGTGTGCACTTCTTTCTTTATTAGCTCCACACAAGATGGACATGACGAAGACGTTTTTATTGTAAAAAAATTGTCGTGGCTCTATCGCTTTAATTTATTTGATTTCACGCGTCACTGTATATGTGTGTGATGATGGAGCTTGTGAGCTTGTCCATTCATTCATTCATTTACTTATAATTTTGCATGTTATTGACTTTTGTCCAGTTTTTCGCATCCATCTTCGTTCATCATTATTACTGTATCATTTCTATTGGCTATCGTCTGTATGAGTTTGATGTACACGCACATATAACGCACTTCATGACAGTCAATTACTGCATATATTTCTCGTTTTGATTAGTGGCTGGTATGCAAATTGTGTTGCCTCACAAGTCTTTGCTCACTCTTTCATTCTTTCTTGTTCTTTCCTACTCGTCCATCTCATCTATGTCAAGTTAAATTGATCATACCAGCGAATAAATTACTGTACTTTGACATTTTTCTGTCGTTTTGTGAGGTCAGTATGATCATTCAATTCGGAATGCAGTAAAAAATACCGCAGACTAAAATAAAGATCACACGATTGGCATTCATAAAATTGCATAAAATTACATAAATCTTTCATTTTACTTAGCTGACCCATCGATTGATCGTCGATAAATTTTCCTTTCCTTCGATCGCACACATTTGCTTTGATAATTTTTTTTTCTGATCTTACATTTTGAACAGCATTTTATAATTGTAAAATGAATAACGTAGTCAGCAAAAAAAAAAAACAACAAATCGTCTAACTAAATACAAATCATTCAGACACGGACACATTACACACCCAATTCGAACAATATTTTTCCAAATGAAGAAAAAACTTCAACCATCGAGCATTTACTCAAAATGCTCCCAGTCGATACTAAGAAAAACCGTCGATGAGAATAAGAAAAAAAAAAACACTATAATTAAAAATGTATTTATAAATGCGGTCTAGATGTTATTTGATACGCCCGATTTGTATGGTAAATGCATACATCAAAGAATTTACAGCAAAAGAAACGGCACGCCAGTTGTGCGAACAGTGTAATAGTGCGAGTATGTGCCGGCACATTAATTTCAACAAAAAAATATATTTGCTGTTCATTTTCATCGATAAGTTTTTTATGCTCTTTTGATTTGAATGTAATCCATAGGATTGTTACGTTCCTTTTTTTCGGATAAAATGGAAAATAAAACGTAGTTAAATTTTGGGCGAACGAATGAAGGGCGATCGACTCAAAATCAACGAATCTAAATGAATATGAGCGATATGCATCGACAGTGAAATTTATTGCAATAAAATCGTGTGTTTTTTTTTTCGATTTCTTCGGAAATCGGTTGGTGAGATGTGGCAATCGTTTCACCCATTCTATTCTTGCTGCCGCGCACAGAAACATAAGGAAAAAAATGTATATGCGCGCTAACGCACATAAGGGAAAGTATAGAGTTAGGCACCAGAACAACGATAATGGTAGCAGAAAAATGAAAATGAAATATTACGCTTGATTTATATTACTTCATTTTCACTTTAACTCGCAAGACGTAACTTTGTATGCGGCAAGTAGGTCGTTTCACAAGAAGCACTGCTACATATATTCGCTTTGCCCCGACTTCGAATACACATTTACCGTCATCATGGCATACACATTCGCAGAAGAAAAAAGGTGCTCATATGCTGCATAAAAGTTGGGTTGTTGTGCGAGTAAGTGAACAAACGAACGAACTTAAACATACACATGCATCACCGTCATCATCTCTCTCGATGCACTAAGTGCAAGGCACCGCCAGCAAGGTGGCAATGGAAATGTGCATGAAGAAAAATTGGCCCAACTTATTTATGAATGTTTCTTCAATTCTTCTGTTTCGTTTTCCGGCGTTACTCATCTCTTTGTCCGATTGCCACAAAAATATTACATGAAATAAAGGTATGTTTGTAATAGGTTGGACTCATAAATTAAGCTTTATTATGCCTCAGAACTTTCAATATACTAAAGCGCTTTTCTCCTTATTGGCCAAATATATACATTTTCTTTTCATAAAAAACCTGCACTACGTTTTCGTCATCATTTTACCTAACTCCAAATATATTCATTGAAGCTTCAAATCCATATTGTAGCTAATATCGAATGATCAATTATTGTACGAACATCGCGCATATAAATGATTGTTGCTAATTGGACTGTTAATTACCTATTCCAGATTTTATTCGTTAGAATCATCGCTTGGATTGATAAATTAAAAAGAAAAGAAAATGAAGAGAAAAAAAAGTAAGAATTTATTATACATTTTTTATTGCTGGTGAATAAAAGATATGTATTCAAAATTGTGTAAAATTTGAATGTGTGTTGTCTGTGGCAGAAATATGCTGAAAAATAAATTTTCGAATAAATAAAACCGTGAAATGACTGCGCCTCATTTCAACATATTATCAATTAACGATATAACAGAACCTGTTTGGCTGGGTCAATGTGCATGGAAAACGGAATAATATCTTGACATTTTGCATTTGCACGAATGTATCGGCGCGACTTTTGTTCATGTGGTGCCAATTGGTTTTATTTCTCTCTCTTTTTTACAATCCAAATCGAAATAACTATTAATTAAGAGCCTGTCGAAGTCATATTTCACACAAAATAATATTGATTTACTCTTGCATCAATGTTTCGATGTGATGCAAAGGATTGTATACTTATTTTATTTAATTGACAAAGGCCGCATCGAATCACAACAGCGTACAGCGTACACTCCGTTTTCCCCCCGCCCTCATCGTCTCGATTCCG